CGTAAAACCAACACAGCATTTCATAAAAAGAACATCCTACCAACAATCAAACATGCTGGTGGTAGTGTGATGATCTGGGGCTACTTTGCAGCTTCAGGACCTGGATGACTTGCCATAATTGATGGAACCATGAATTCTGCTCTCTATCAGAAAATCCTGAAGGAGAATGTCTGGCCGTCAATTTGTGACCTCAAGCTCAAGCGCACTTGGTTTATGCAGCAGGACAATGATCCAAAACACACCAGCAAGTCCACCTTTGAATGGCTCAAGAAAAACAAAATTAAGGTTTTGGAGTGGCCAAGTCAAAGTCCAGACTTAAATCCGATTGAGATGCTGTGGCATGACCTTAAACAGTCCATTCATGCTCAAAAACCCTCCAATGTGGCTGAATGAAAACAATTCTGCAAAGAAGAGTGGGCCAAAATTCCTCCACAGCGATGTGAAAGACTCATTGCCAGTTATCGCAAACACTTGATTGCAGTTGTTGCTGCAAAGCGTGGCACAACCAGTTATTAGATTTAGGGGGCAATTACTTTTTCACGTAGGGCCAGGCAGGTTTGGACAGCTTTTTTCCCTTAATAAAAGAAATCATAATTTAAAAACTGCATTTTGCATTTACTTGCATAATCTTTGTGTAAAATTTAAATTAGTTTGATGATCTGAATCTTTTAAGTGTGATAAATATGCAAAAAATTTAAAAAACAGGAAGGGGGCAAAAACCTTTTCACAGCACTGTATGTAGTAGTGTTCTCCTTAAAACCGCCCAACTTAACTTTTAGCAGAAATTTACAATACTGGTCAAAAGTTTGGAATAATTAAGAATTTATATATATATATATATAAAAAAAATTTTTGGGAAGAAGTCTGTTCTGCTCACCAAGGCTGCGTTTATTTAATCAAAATATAGTATAAAAACAGTTATACTGTGAAATATTATTACAATTTAAAATAGCTATATTCTATGTGAATATATTGTAAAATGTAATTTATTTCTGTGTCTTCAGTGTCACATGATCTTCAGAAAAGTCAACATTGCATCACAGGAATAAATTACACATTCAAATGCATTCAAATTTAAAACAGTTTTTAAAAAAAGGAAAAAACAAATACAGTTTTTTACTGTGTTTGGATCAAATAAATTAAGTCTTGGTGAGTATAACAATAAAATATTTGCAAAAATATATTTTAAAAAATTAATTATTCCATGTAATTTTTTAAAAATCTAAACACTTCAAATTTACAGTATATTCTTTTTTGAATAGTATTTTAATAATGATGACAATCTAATTTTCAAAAAACTTCTAAATTAAGTGTGTCTGAAAAATAATTTCTTATCTCTTTTTATCTGATTTTGCTGTGATATTTGATGTTATATATACAGTGGGGCAAAAAAGTATTCAGTCAGCCACCAATTGTGCAAGTTCTCCCACTTAAAAAGATGAGAGAGGCCTGTAATTTTCATCATAGGTATACCTCAACTATGAGAGACAAAATGAGGAAAAAAATCCAGAAAATCACATTGTAGGATTTTTAAAGAATTTATTTGCAAATTATGGTGGAAAATAAGTATTTGGTCAATAACAAAATTTCATCTCAATACTTTGTTATATACCCTTTGTTGGCAATGACAGAGGTCAAACGTTTTCTGTAAGTCTTCACAAGGTTTTCACACACTGTTGCTGGTATTTTGGCCCATTCCTCCATGCAGATCTCCTCTAGAGCAGTAATGTTTTGGGGCTGTCGCTGGGCAACACGGATTTTCAACTCCCTCCAAAGATTTTCTATGGGGTTGAGATCTGGAGACTGGCTAGGACCTTGAAATGCTTCTTACGAAGCCACTCCTTCGTTGCCCGGGCGGTGTGTTTGGGATCATTGTCATGCTGAAAGACCCAGCCACGTTTCATCTTCAATGCCCTTGCTGATGGAAGGAGGTTTTCACTCAAAATCTCACGATACATGGCCCCATTCATTCGTTCGTTTACACGGATCAGTCGTCCTGGTCCCTTTGCAGAAAAACAGCCCCAAAGCATGATATTTCCACCCCCATGCTTCACAGTAGGTATGGTGTTCTTTGGATCCAACTCAGCATTCTTTCTCCTC